GTTTAACTGGATTAGATCTGTGTAATAAGAATTCCATTGAAAACCAAAGTTGTACAATGTCAAACAAAAGTGGCCTATTTCCGTCTCATKTTTAAATGCACAACAGCACAAATAAATGTGAAAAACACAGCTTCACTCCCTCTCCTTATTAGAGCTTATTGTTTATTGTCTGCTTCGCGGAGCGCACATATAGCATAGCTGACAGCAGTAAAGGAGAGCTGCACACATGAACTCTTTACTAACACTTTCCTACGCTAACCAGCTGTCCCCCTGTGGCTTCAGCTGATGCCAAAACCTTTGAAATGTCCTTCAAGGCATTAAAAAACAACAACAACATGCTCACTGCTTTGGGTAAAATCTTATTTGTACACTATAATTACACTTTGAAAAGTTGCAAAGTTTAAACTTTTGAGACCTTCACTTTTTCTCTCTCCTCATTTCGGGATATCGATTTGGCTTGAAAACGCACATAAGACTGGTTTCTGTAGAGAACAAAGAGGCTTCTCATTATGTGCTGTGCCTCAGAAAACTTTGAATGCTTCAGATAGGATTTACTTGTTTTATCAAGGGACAGATGAAGGAGAATACAGTCAATAATTTTCACAAAGATGGAGCCACTGCTAATCTTAACAAGAAGGCCAGGGGCACTGAATGAATGTGGTTATTAAGGAGACAGAGATTTGTAATGATGTCTGTCTCAAATGTATTTGATGCTGGTGAAAAAAAAACATCTGTAAAACCATAACCAGCATTTTCTGTTAAGTTACCACACGATTGCTATCATCTTTCACAGATATTTCTTACATGATCCTCCAAGCTGTATCAGAATAATGCCCTCATTGTTTTCATTATAAGCAAAATAAGGGCATTAGCTGTAGTAAGTAGTTAAAGTTTAAAGCTTATAAAAACAAGCATTTGTTGGACGATTACTCTGAATCAAATTTGTTGTGTTGGCTGCACGAGAACTGTAATTACTTAGTAACACTGTATTTACAGAAACAAACAGTGATTAAGTTGTTGGTTTTGACTGCGGTTTTTGTGTAAGCTAAAAATTATTTGAGTTTTTTTTTTGTGCCATTAACTTCAGACCCCATTTTCATAGCTGCACAAGTACAACCAAATTATTTATACATTGGTGACTAAAAGCAATTTTTGATCTGGTATAAAACGTCCCACCAAAATAAATCTAGTCCCGTTTTTTTTTTTTTTTCTCTGCTGGTGTCAAATACCATGTTCATTATTTAAAGCAGGTGTGCCCAAAGTTTTTGCCAGAACGGGCCAAAATTAAAATCTATCAGAGGGCTGTGGGCCAAATG